AAAATTTATCGAGCGTCAAGTTAGCAGATCTTAATTATGTTTAATAAATATTATGAACGGAATCGATTAGAAATCATTTGGGAATAACATATTCATTAATATTTTTATTTGGGAAAGTCGCATTTTTGTAATTTAAATAAATTTGTATATTCAAAAAAATTATTATGCGTTATGCACGCGGCATAAAGGATTCAACCAATCAGAGTCCTTTATTTCTAAAATGAAAGACTCAATAAAATATTTTCATGTGCGCTGGTTCTTAAGAGCAAGCAAAATGAACAAGATTCAACTCTATAACATTATGTTACGTATAACGTCGTCGGAATTGACGACGTAGATTTTATTATTTTACTGAATTTTTATAATTTTTTTATAAACATACCTATAATACTTAATGGCTTCATGCCTGTAACATTGGTAAGAAATTTCAAATACATATTTTTGTAACATTTTAATAGAAAGCACAGAATTTATAATAAATTAAGAATAAATTTCAGGACCACGTGCTACGTGTTTGGAATCTAAGTTGCAATGAATTGAGAAATTAGACAAGGCAGTGGAACATTGAGAATTACGGAAAATAAGAATGTAAGACATGCCGAGGATAGTAAGTGCACGATATACATCTTTGTTCTTTAAATGATTTTATTTTCTTCCATTATGCACAATAAAGACTTTTATTTAAACAAATGTTTACACGTACACGCACACATAGAAAAAAAACATTATAGCTCTAGTATTCTAAGTATGTGAACTGATATTTTTTGATCTATTCTATTTCTGCACATTGATAATTATATTAATATAACGCTCTGAAATTATCCAATACCAAATTCATGCGGAATTGAAGCTTTCGGTCCATACCACGTTTGCCTAAGATTATCAATTTCAATGGTACCAATTTCTTGAAATTTCTTGAAATTGATATTTGAAATATTTGAAATTTGAAAACATTTGTTTACACGTACTTTCGGTCCATACCTCGTTTGCCTAAGATTATCAATTCCAATGGTACCATTGAAATTGATAATCTTAGGCAAACGAGGTATGGACCGAAAGCTTGTGTAAACAAATGTTTTCAAATTTCAAATATTTCAAATATCAATTTCAAGAAATTTCAAGAAATTGGTACCATTGAAATTGATAATCTTAGGCAAACGAGGTATGGACCGAAAGTACGTGTAAACAAATGTTTTCAAATTTCAAATATTTCAAATATCAATTTCAAGAAATTTCAAGAAATTGGTACCATTGAAATTGATAATCTTAGGCAAACGAGGTAAGATAAATAAATAAAACACGATATATGAACTTCTGAAATTAATAATGAAGATATATTTAACATATAATTTTTACAGACACCAGGTACAAATGAAGAGTGGACAGAAATTGCAAATAATTATTTTCAACTATGGAATGTTCCAAATTGTATTGGCTCTATGGATGGGCGACATATAGAATTCAAAGTGCCACTTAAGGACGGATCAATGTATTATAACTACAAGGGTACCAACAGCATTGTTTTATTAGCAGTAGTTGACGCTCTTTATCAATTTATATATGTCAATGTTGGCGTTAATGGCAGAATAAACGACGGAGGAATTTTTTGTAATAGTGATTTCGCACAACTATTAAATAATTCTCAAAATCCACTTAACATACCAAAAGATAAGCCTTTGCCTGGATGAATCTATGCCGTATGTTTTATTAGCGGATAATGCTTTTCCTTTGCAAAAGCATATACTGAAACCGTATCCGTCACGAAACTTGACTCATGATGAACAAATATTCAATTATAGACTCAGTAAAGGGAGGCGAATTGTTGAAAATAGTTTTGGAATATTAGCAAATAGATTTCGTGTTCTTTTGTCAACAATATACTTATCAGTTGGTACAGTTCAAATTATTACCCTTGCATGTTGTGCCTTGCATAATTATCTCTGTCGCGAAAATGGTGCATATTTACATGGAACAATAGACATTGAAAATGTAGAAAATCGTACAATATCACCTGGTGAATGGAGAAATAATAATGCACACTTACGCGATTTAGAAATTATTAATGAATAGAAAAATAGAAATGCCATTCATATTCGTAATGAACTCAAACGATATTTTAATACTGTTGGAGCTGTTGAATGGCAAAAGCATATGATTTAAGAATTGAAGAATCTAGATATAAAGCATAATTTTGAGTAAATTGTAAATAAATTGTACTAATTTAATGAATTGAAATATATATTTCAAATATAATGTATTGTAAACAAATTTTTGTTTTATTGATTATGGCACACAGAAGAATAGTTATATTTAATAACAATAAATATGTTCGAGATCGAACCAGGTAATTAGCTTAATTAAGTAAGCGTGATCGAACGTCTCTAAAAGGAGCGCTCGAAAATTGGCGCGTTAGCGGCCATCTCGCGCGGAACACGGTGCGCCGCAAATCAGAGCGCGCGTCAACAGCTGCGCTATGCGAATCACGCCAGGCCCGCGGCATCGCTCGTGCCGTTCGAAGCGGGCCACGCAGCGGTCACCCGGGAGAGCCTAAATTAAAAACAAATGAGAATAACAACGTTCAATTTTCAATAATCATCGCAAACAACAGCAAGCTCGATCTTTCGCGAAAAACATATCGAACATTCTAGAACACTAAAAAGAACGGTGGTATAAAAGCTCTCTCGGGGGATCGCCCGGCGCACTCGATCTGATATCTTTGACGTGACAGTGTGTGATTTTCTCCGTTTCGAAAACGTTCGCAAAAGTTTAAGTAGCTCGCTTTGCTTTTATACCATAGCTCGTGGTACGCGAATTCGCTAGTTTTCTAGGATATTCATCGCTCGTGAATATCAATCTCGCGGTCTTTCCGTCACTAAATATTCGTCGCTTGCGAATATTTGAGCCGAGATCGACCCGTCGCTCGCGGAGATTATCGTTGCGCCTTTTTACAAACGATTTCGTGTCCGTTGCTCACTCTATTCGCGCTCCCGGGTTCAATCGCGCACAAAATATGATTGGCAATTATAAGTATAAAAGCAATATATCTATAAGCACACTAATAAGTATAAAAACTAAATCTCTTTTATGTATGTGTAACAATCATAAAATTTAAGTCTTCTCGCACGCAATTGATTTTTTTTATCACCCTTACACATTTATAATAACATAAATTTTTAAACAATGTTCCGAAACATAAGAAAGTATCACTATAACATTGACATATAAAAGTAATATTATTTTAACAAATAAAAAAGTCATAGCATCTATTATTATTGCAATTATTAAAAGTATTGTATCAAAATGATTAAATTCTCTTGTTTATAAATGATAATTTTAAAAGTAATAGGTTTTCTTTATTCATTGTCTTCATCATCTACTAATTCGATCATTTTTCTTTGCAATCGTTTCAATCTTTTCCTATCTTTTATTTTACGTAATTTGCTTTCCAAGTATAGGATCCAGTGATGTATTCTGTCTTGGGCGTTTTCATCAACATCAGATATATTCATCAATGTTTGAGATGCAGCCTTCCAAAAATTTAATCTGGCATCTGATATTTCTGCCAAAGCTTCTTTTTTTTGTAACGCTCTGTACGACTTGCTGATCTGCTTGATTTGGATACCGAGGGAGTAGGCGAACGACGATTATTACAGTCGGCTTTAACAACTACAAATAATAGAAAAATAAATTAAAAAACAGTTTTAAAGATTATTTAGTTTTAAAAGGATCAATATAACTCTTATTACCATTATTTCTGATAAGATCACATGTATGCGTATATTGTAACTCCTCCATCAATGAATCGTTATTTAGATTCACGATACTCATGGTATCATCTGATGCATCAGGTTGCCGATTGGAATTCTGTAATTAATTATAATTTAAACAGTTTGAAAATTGCAATTTAATAACTTAAAATGGTAATATATTCTTTGCAATTACTATCAATGAAGATTCTCCTGATCTAGCTGCAATGTGGACATTCAGGAATGACAAATCGTCAAATAACCACCACGTGGGCTTGTATACTTCATCGGCTGAAGCCCCACTCATTTTTGACTGCCGAATTTTGTTTCTAAGTACTGCGATTGCAAGTTATTAATTTTTTTCTTTACTGTATCAACTGTTATTGGCTGATTAGTGATATCCTGATAATTTCGACATATTGTTTGCAGTGCTTGATCACATTTACTGCGATTATGATATTCAGCAGATTTTGTAACATATAGGCAAGGATGCTGCTCGTATAACATTACCAATGTTCTGACGTTTTCTTTGTTATCCATACTCTGTAAACAAAAAATATTATTCTTTCAAATTTCCATGAAAAATTTAATAGATTAAAAGGAGTCTGTAAGGTTACATAAATTTTAAACATTTTTAATAAAACCAATTATATTTAAGATCAAATTCTAGAATAATAAGATGAACAATTTTCTAGCCATTCGAAACAATGTATTTTAATTTAAAAATCATAAACTGCAAGTTTGATTTAAGAAAACAGTGGATTTTAATAACAAATTATCCATTATTACTAGAATCCATTTTTCTCTTGAACGAAATTTACAATTTGTGATTTTTAAATGGAAATACAATTGTGTCGAAGACTGAAAGTCTCCTCTTCTCATTATTTTGTAATTCAATTTTAAATATAATTTTTTAAATAAAAATGCCTTCTGAGGTTATGTTATTGATTTATATGGATGCAAAATGTAAAATATAATAAATTTAATCCTTTCAATATTGATCTAATATAATTTTTATTTATATCAATTTTTTAATATTATATGCCATCTACTTTCCCCCCATCCTTTTTTTAAATACCCCGGCACTCCTTCCCCTTTCACCCACTTATACCACCTATTATATTCCGACCCCCATATCCTCTTCCATCTTTCTTCTTTCTGCAACTTTCTTTCTCTCTCAATCATCTCCTCCCCCTTAATTCCACCATCTCCTTCATTTTCCACCCCCTTTCCTCTATAAATCTCCTCCTCCCATCCTATCCCTTCTTTTCCCCTCCTAATCCTTCCCTTCATCTCCTACCAACACTTCCTAGCCAGCTCTCCCCCCTTACCCTCCTCCAATTTTTTTTCAAAATTCCAAGCTCTCATACCCGCCCTCCCCCTCAACAAATACCTCTCCTATACCTTCCCTTCCCCCCTCTCTTTTCCTCCCCCTCCCTCTCCTCTCCCCATGCTCCTCTTTCCCCTCTCACTTTCCTCTTCCTCTCCCACTATCTCTCCTCCCTCCCTGTCCTCTCCTACTCTTATTTTTCCCCCTGATCTTTCCATCCTCTTCCCTCCCCATCCCTTAACTCTTCCTCTCCTTCATTCCATTTCCATTTTCATTCCATTTCCACCAAATACCATTTATTTGCACTTTTCCATATCCTACCCATACTCTCTTACCTTTTTCTCTCTCTCTCCTTGCCACACTCTCTATTAACCATCTCATCCTTTTTTCTCTCCATGTTAAGTCATCATCCAACCTTATATCTCTGCCCTTTATTTCTCCTCTCCTTCTCATTATCTCTTTCTTCTTCTCTACTTCGTCTATTTTCACTATTGCCGTCCCTTTTCCCCCCTCCTTACTTCCTAAGCATCTCACCCCCTCTACCCTAGCCTCTATTTTTATCTCTTTTATAAAATCTTGTAATATTTTGGTCTATTTTATGATCTGTTTCATCGTTTAATCCTGATTTTTTAATTTAATAACAACAAAAATGTTAAGTAAATGTAAGTTTCAGTTACAGTCTTACATAGACCGTGGTTTTAGTCAAATTCATTTGAATTTCCCACGCTCGGAGGAAAATTGCTGGGTAAGATGGCGGCGTCCATTTGGGAACGCTTTTGAGTCCTAAGAACAAAGGCGATCGGCAATCCAGATATATAAAATTTGTTCGCGTTGCTTGAAATTTCCAAAAAGTTCTGCACTGAAAACAAGATAAATATATATTCGGATGTTGAAGAAAGTGAAAGCGAAGATACCGAGTGCAAAAAGTTCAAGCAATGCGAACAAACCTATAGATCAGTGGTGGAAACGCTTGAAAGTAGATGATGCCAACCTTTACTTTTCATTATTTCGTAACCATCAATATATAGTCGATATATAGTGTATATGTTGATGTTCGTAACAGTTGCCGTTTGTTCGTATGAATTATCAAAATGGAAAATAAACGAGAAATTTGTCAAGGATTATGTTTGTAACGATACCGTTACTAACGGCCTAGCGAGCCGATCCATCGCGCGCTTTTCGAGGCTCGGCGCTTATGGCGTCTCTAAGCAGTGATGCCAGAAATGGGTCCCGCGGCTCACGGCTTAGCAATGGAAGGGGTAACGCACACAAGCGCGAGCCGCGTACATGTGGCACATGTACGCGGTTCGCGCTTGTT